CTCCCCCCTTAAGTGAGTCTAAGTGGGTGACTGTACAACATGCATCGCGGCAAGTGCCGTCAATGCAAGACGCAATACGGAGTGAGACTCAGAAGTGAAACCCAAGCTCACGCGTTCAGGAGGACTAGTCCGTTACCCTACAAGTAGAAGTGCTCGGACGGGCAGACTCGCACTTCGCTCTTTTTGCGGCCATTGCAGAAAACCGGAGGTCTGTGTGTGAAACACTGTCCGCCGGACGGATTGCTGGAATCCGGTCACAGGCGGCCAGCGTGACGGAAGCACAAGAGACCACGATCCGACGGGCGGATGAGCATGCGACGGTGGGCCTTGGCCACGTCGAGCACCAATGCAATCAGTTGGTCCAGAGAGTCGGAAACTGGGACGGAGCGACGGACGTCCATGAGAGATGGGTTAGCGGACCGGTTAGGAAGATGCGTGTTGGAGGTCACGCCGGACACCGAAGAGTCGACCACCAGGCGAGGCGGACGCCCAGGAGCTAAGACCAGGCCCAGTTTGCCCACGGCAGTGTGGTGGTAGGAGCGGCGGAGCTCCGCGTCACCACTGGGGACCTCACGGATCCAACCGGCTTCGAGCTCGGCTTGCAGAAGAGAGTCCACGATATCGGTGTTGTCCAAGGCGGACTTCCATGCGGATTCACAATGCTCCAAGGGAAGGCGAAGGGCGTCAGGCGGAGCTGGAGGGTGCATGACCGGGCAGACCGGGATAGCGGTGCCGATGCCGAGGGGGACACCCTCGCGGAGAACGTGGAAATAATCGGCGTCCGGGTCGGAGCAGAGCAAAGAGAGACAATGCCACAGATTTAGTCGGAAAGGTTGACCGTCAAGAACGTGGAGCAAAGAAGTCCAGGTGGAGTCAGAGTCCACGTGGAGAAAGGCACGAAGGTCGGCCAAGAAAGGGGCAAGCTCGGCATCAGAGAGTGGATCGGTCTTTGACCCGGACAGCAGACGGGACGCAATCTGTTGATGCAGGCCAGAGTCCAGGAGCCGTTTGGTCCAGGCTTTGCGGAGGCTGCCAAGCGCGTCGGATTGGGTCGGGGGGAAAGGGGTCGCAGAACTGCAAATGCCGGCGCCATCTTCCACGCGGCCGGCGGGAAGGGTCCAGCAGGGATGAGGGGGTAGGAGGCAAGTCCAATTGCGGACGGACTGATTGGCAGCGCCTTTATCCACAAAAGGAGCGGCCACGGAGGCCAGAAGAGAGGCCAGAGAAAGTGGGTATTGAGCCGTCTGGCGAGTAAGGAAGGAATGATCGGGGCCACGACAACCGGACAAGGCAGGATGAAAGCCCAAAGGGTGGGGACAAACGGACGCAACAGAAGCAATTGCAGCGTGATTGCACATGAAGGTCCAAGATTTGTGAGCGGGGACGGCATGCACACAGGCAGCTGCTGTGGCGGCAGCTGCTGTGGCGGCAAACGGAGTGTGCGTGCGACACCAAGCCATGACCTGAGGGTCCAGCCAGAGAAGACTAGACGTGGGATTTTCAAGCCAGATCAGACCCCCCCGGGCAGCAACGAGAGCCAGCAACTCTCTGCAGCGAACGTGAAGAAGGGAGGAAGTGGCGAGCTCTGTCGTCTGGGCCGGAGAAAGCACATCTTTACCGCGCGGGTGGGAAACAGTGCGGATGGCAGGGGGTCCGCCGGGACGAAGGCGGGCACGAGAGAAGGCCGAGCAGGGCGGAGCCGCGGCCGCGGCGCCCACGAGACCAGAAGAACACAAGCGGCGCAAAGATGCGAAGGTATCATCATGCAACAGGTCGATGTGTTCGCCTGACAGTAGATCCACCGGCTGGAAGCACATGCGACCGAGCGCGACCATGGACTGAGTGACGGGAGAGGCGGCGCCCGCAAACAAATCCAAGAAGAAGCGGGCCGGGGGAACACGCGGAGGCTGGGCAGGCGACCCCTGAAGGACGGGAGGCGAAGCCGTCACAGGAGCAGGAGGCGTGGCCGCACGCACCGAAGGTGGCGTCACGCCGACGGTGACAGATGCTGTAGGCATGGCGACCGACGGCGGCGCCGGAAGGAGTCAATGCGGGGCGGCGGCATGCTCTAGTGCACTGTGAGGTTGACCACATGGCTTGCCGGACGGAAGCATGACGGGACACACGTGGGCATACTTGCAATTGGGGTTGGAGCACTTGCCCAAGGCGTGCTTCATGCACACGTCAGCACCGTCGACGACGCGCGCCCATGACGGGTCAAAGCCCGGGATGGGGCCGGGTTTGGACGGGGCAGCTTTGACCTTAGCCTTGGCCTTAACCTTGGGCGCCGCTTTAGGGTTGGCTGCATCCACGGCAGAAGGGGGCGCGGAGTGCTGCCCATCAGGGTTAGTGCGTTTGCGAGGGTTGGGTTTGCCTGGAGAGGCGGGGCCGGACGGCATCTGCGGTGCACGAGCTGGCCGCGGACGGGGTTGCAGCAATGGAGCCATATCGTGACGACAAAACCCAACCTCATTGAGGCTGTCGGTGAGGGACCAAGACTGATCTCGCACCAGAGCGGACACCGTCATCCAGATGGCACGATCAGCGTGGACCACCTCTTGCAGGACCGGAGCACGGAGAGTAGTGTCGGACGGCGGAGTAGTGGCCATGGTAAAGAACTTGTCGTTGAAGCGTTTGATTGTGGCCAAATGCACCAAGTCCAGGAGGGCCAGAGCAGTGGCGAACAAGTCCAGGCAACGCCGCAAGACGGATTCGGAGGGGCCATTGATGCTGAAACCAAAGGTCGGACCGGCCGCTTCGTCCGGCAAATCCAAAAGCGAACGAAGCATCTGGCGGTCGGACCTGGGGCGGCGGGATTCCTCCCAGTGCAGGAAGTCAGCTTCAGAAGTGCGCTGACGCCATGGAATCCACACGGATTGGCCGGATTCATGATGCTGGCGGATCAAAGACAAGAATTCAACGGACGGAGTGTTCTCAGGCGTGAGCAACTCGCCCGGATACTTGGTTAAGTAGTCTTTGCGAAGAGCCAGAAAGTCGGCCGCCGTGAGCTTGTTGGAAGTCGCCCCGGCAGGAGCCTTGGGCAGTTGTGACGGGGCAGCAGCAGAGGCGGCCCGAGGGGGTGCGATGGAGCA